TACACTCAGAGCATGTGTAGGGCCTCTCTCCTGTGTGGATTCTCCTATGTGAGATAAGGTGTGAGCTCCGCCTGAAGCTTTTCCTACACTCAGAGCATGTGTAGGGCCTCTCTCCTGTGTGGATTCTCTGATGTGTGATAAGGGAAGAGCTGTGACTGAAGCTTTTCCCGCACTCAGAGCATCCATACGGTTTCTCACCTGTGTGGATTCTTCTGTGTGTGCTCAGGGCAGAGCTCTGATTGAAGCTTTTCCCGCACTCAGAGCATGTGTAGAGCGTCTCTCCTGTGTGGATTCTCTGATGCGTGATAAGGGTAGAGCTCCGACTGAAGCTTTTCCCACACTCAGAGCATGTGTAGGGCCTCTCTCCTGTGTGGATTCTCCTATGTGTGCTCAGGGCAGAGCTGTGATTGAAGCTTTTCCCGCACTCAGAGCATCTATATGGTTTTTCACCGGTGTGGATTCTCCTATGTGCGCTCAGGGCAGAGATCTGATTGAAGCTTTTCCCGCACTCAGAGCATCCATACGGTTTCTCACCTGTGTGGATTCTTCTGTGTGTGCTCAGGGCAGAGCTCTGATTGAAGCTTTTCCCGCACTCAGAGCATCTATATGGTTTTTCACCGGTGTGGATTCTCCTATGTGCGCTCAGGGTAGAGATATGATTGAAGCTTTTCCCGCACTCAGAGCATCCATACGGTTTTTCACCTGTGTGTATTCTCCAATGTTTGCTCAGGGCAGAACTGTGATTGAAGCTTTTCCCACACTCAAAGCATGTGTGGGGCACTTCTCCTGTGTCGATTCGCTGATGTGAGGTGAGGGTTGAACTATCATTGAAGCTTTTCCCATACTCAGAGCACGTGTAGCGTGTCTCTTCCAAGTTGATTCTGTCATGTATTATAAGGTCTGAGTGGCTACCGAAGTTTTCCTCTGGCCTCTCCTGAGTCTCACAGGCTTTTGCTTTTTCTCCGAGTGCAAAACTCCCAGAAATATTCCCTTTGGATCTTCCTGATAACGTCCCATGTGGTTCTATTTGCTCAGCATCTTCCTGCTGGGGTTTCTCCTCCTCATTCTCAT